TTCCTAGCCGTTCCCTCTGGGTCCAGCTGTCCGATTTCTGTCTCCTTCTCCCTCTCCCTCGCCATCTCTCTGATTCTCGCCACCCCCAGCCGCCTGTTTGCAGATTTCACTTTTGAGCTCTTCCGGGTTCGGTTCGCTTTGGGTGAGTCCGGCCCATTCTGCATCTAGCATTCGCTCCACTGTTTTACCAAGCCCATGTTGGAACAGAAATTCCTCTCTACGGTCGAATCTGCATTTGCATTTTTTAATCAGTTTCATGCTGCTGTGATGCCATCTTTCTCTAGGCTTGTTTGAATGTTGTTTGGAGAAGATTCTTTTAAAGCAGTGCAGAGGTGCAATGACAGTGGAGCCACCCCAAAGGACCATAAACAAAAGTATGCTAGCACTCTTGAGGTGTGAAAAGGACACCAAATACAAATACAATACCTTTATTGGCATAAAATATCAAATACACATGCAGCATAGAGCCTCAAGATAGGCTGGAGGGGTATCACATTCCGAATTGCCTTAATATGAGCCTCTCCTAACTAAAGAAAGAATCTCAACACTACTTGCTGCAGCCAAAACTGTCATTGCTTGCAACTGGAAAAGTAATAATTCACTTACCCTGCACCAGTGGTATATGAAAATTTGGGAACATTACACCTTAGAAAACTCCATAAAAAGACAAACCCAATTTTACACAAAATTGCTTGATTTTATTGACTTTTCACTTTCAAATGCACCAAATACATTACAATCAGTTCCATCCAAATACAAAGAAATAATTGCGATCTTTTAGTGTCGAACTTTCAGGGCACTGTGTCACCATGTTTGAACACCAGAAGGATTGAATAAACGATTATTTAGTTTAAAGTTGTGTATTTTTAAAGAGTTAATTGGTTATTTTTTGTTGTTGTTAGTTATTACGACAAGTCATATACAATGGATGTATTTGATCACAATATACGATTTGGATATATATATAGCATTATATGTTGACAAGTATTGTCATTATCTTGTAATAAGGAATAAGGCATTATGTATATGGCGTTAATAATATTTGTTTTCTCACTGTATTTTTTAATGAATAAAATAATAAAAAAGTTAAAAAATATATATATGAGCCTCTCCTTCTAGATACCTCAAAAAAGAAATTTGCTACAGGATCCAGAATTTCTATATTATGCGAAGACAATAAAGAACTAATTTTATGCTCATCAGATTGGCCCAAAAGGGGGTCCA